ACCGGGAGGGACGCTGGGGAGCTGGCGGGAGAGTTCTGCGGCCCGCTCTTGGCCTCTTCTGGAGCCCCCTTCGCCGGGCCGAGGCTGGGGCATTTGGGGGTGCGCTTAGGGCTTCGCTCCTGTGCTTGAAAAGGCCCGCATCCCCCAGGCGCTGCGGCAGGGACTGTGAGGGGAGCCGGGGAGGATGCGAGGCGAGGGGCAGCCCTTGCGCTGCTGCTCCATAGCAGGGTCTGGCCGCGTGCTCTTCTGGGCGCCCCTGAACTGTGGCTTCTGGGTCCCACAGGGTGCTCAGGCCTCCGAGTGGAGTAGAGGTACAAGGGTGCTTTCAGGCCCTCTGAAGGGAATACAGTAGGTTACTTGAGTGAGGTAAATATTTTACTTCTCATGAGATTGCCTGTTCAGTTTGTTAGGCTGAATTGGTTACCCCCACAACTTTGGTAAAACAGTAAAAAATCTGAAATCTGTAAAACTGGGAGATGTTCAGATGCGTATTTGAAGAGATGGAATAGTATGGAAGAGATGAAATAGCTAAATCTGTACTTTATAATCAGAAAGACAGCTAAGGAATTTAAAGGTCCATGTTCGAGGTATGATCTAAGTCCTTCTACTCTTTAGGGTGTCACTTTTGGTATCCCGGTTTTAAAAAGTATTCAGTATGTGTTTATGTTTAGAAAAGCTTGAGAAATTAATAATAGTTTAGGAAAAGTACAGTTTTTCACAGGCCTCTGAGGTGTATAGCATGTCTTTCAATCCAAGATGGAATTTCAAATTCTAGTCTCCTTGAATAAGATGAGAGTTTGGACAAATTTCTTTGCACCTCAATTTGCACATGTAAAATTGAAATAATTACAACTACTCAGTAAGATTGCACATAGGGAAATCCCATGGCTTGAGTGCTTATTAAATATACTGCACCTTGGCATTTCAAAGGACCAAGACATTTTCTGGAGTACAGATTTTAAGATATTTCTATGCTATCGTTCTACCTAAATCTATAAAGTGTAGGATACATTGTATTGCTGGAGTTTCTTGCTCTACTAATTTTTGTGCATTGTAGAACCTTTAAACATTTTAAAATTCATTTTTTAACCTATTAATGTGTAGTAAAGGGGGACAGGAGATTGGAGAACTTCTGAATTTGTCCTGTTGTGGCAAATGCAAAAAAAAAAAAAAAAAGTACTGTCTGGATCTTAGGGTTGTAATATTAGAAAATAGATAAGGATAATTTCTTTTTCATAGTTTAGACACATTATTTTTGCATTCTAACTTTCTCAGCTCCCAAATTTGTTTGATTTTGTTTAAAGTTCTTCCTGTTGCTAGTGTTGAAAACTCTAGAAGCCTTACATTACCTTTTATTTAAAAGAGCACATAAAAATTCATTCAGTAGAAAGGTAATGTAGGTACCTGGCTGCCTTCTGTGTACTGGGTCTTGTCAGTAAGACAGTTTCTGAGCATGGAGTTTAGAGACTTTGGGGGGAGATTAAGGAAGGCAGTTATATAAACATAGTCACACCTGAATAGTACAGTGTGATAAATACTACAGGAGAAATATGTTGAGAATGAATGTTTAACAGTGATTACTCAATCGTGCCGGGCATGGTGGTGTACGCCTGTAATCCCAGCACTCGGGAGGCTGAGGCAGGAGGGCCACTGTGAGTTCGAGACTAGCCTGGACTACATAGTGAGTTCCAGGTCGGTGTCAGCTACATAGTGAGACCCTGTCTCAAAAACCAAAACAAACAAACAGTGATTACTCAATCAGCTCTGAACTTGCTGTGGTTGCACTGTGGTTAGAGAAGCCCTATATTTTTTAAAGGTCATTTTATTTCCTTAATGATTTTCAGGATGACCATAAAATTTGAAAAGTTAAATGATGTTACTCGGTATTGCAGTGTAATGTCAATGAGCCATTTACTATATTTTTCCCTATTTTGAGGTATGGAATTCACACCACACTGAATTTCAGAAAGAAACGGAAAATTCAAAGCACTGAAGTCAGATGTTGAATTTTTATCTATTAAATCTTTTTGTATTAGAGAGTGATCAGTCTGACTGCCTAGAAGCGGGGGACTCAAGGGCTAAAGAAAAAAAAAAGAAAGTACAGACCTGCGTAATCTCAAAGTATGTGGGGAGCTGGGAGGTCAGTGCCTCAGAGTGGACAAAGAAAAAGACGCTTCGAACTGGCCATCATTTATTGGGTACACACAATAATTGCAGGGAGCATCGGGTGACTTAGGGGCTACTGGTGATCCTGTGTTGATGCAGATCTTATGCTGAAGAAGATCTTGGATGGATGAGGATCTATGTTGATGAGGTGGTAAGGAGAGCATTCTTACAATAGTAGGTGGGACAAGATAGCAGGCTAATGAAGAAGTTGTCCTTCCCCCAGGTGAAAACTTTCTCTTTTATTTTATTGCTGCTGTTCCCTGAAGAACCAGGATGTCTTCAGCAGATGTGCACTTGCCCTTGAGCATCCCAGTATTGCAGGACGCACTACCAAGTGCTGGGTTGTCTTGACTACAAGCCCTGAGTAATTTCTGTTGTATTATGCTATCTCATGCTTAGTGTTTGCAAACCATATCTGAATTTTGTTTAAATGCTTTATATAAATTTCAGAATATTATTCTTAGATCGTTTTCAAAGATTCCCATTAAAATAAACATTAACGTAAGTTGGAGTTGGCCACATTTTGACAGTAATGGGCATATTCCTGAAATGGAAAAGATTACTGTTGTATTTCAATGACTTCCTTTGTAATTAACATCTATGCAGTGTATGGGTTCTACTGTCTGTCTTTTACATCTGTATTAACGAACTTGAAGCCAGTTATTTCTCAAGAAAGGCATGGAAGTGGGGAATAGAGGGAGAGTTAAAATAGAATTTTTTGTCTTTAGATGCTTTTTAAGGTTTCTTTCCCCTTACAGCCACTAAGATGCTGCTGTCTTTGATGTGAGATTTCTTTGCAAGTGGTAACTGTTTTATCTTTTATCTTTCTCTCTTTAGGCAAGCCAGAATTCCTTCCGTATAGAATATGATACCTTTGGTGAACTGAAGGTTCCAAATGATAAGTATTATGGTGCCCAGACTGTGAGATCTACGATGAACTTTAAGATTGGTGGTGTGACGGAACGCATGCCTGTAAGTGTCTTTTGTGGAAATGCTGGCTTATTGTGGATGAACTAAGCTATATTTGAATGAGTCCTCTTACTTTATAAGTAAATACTTTACAGATTAAAAAATATAACATTATCAGAAAACTGTCTTCCTGAGTAAAATAGTGTTTTCTTCCATTAAAACATCAAAGAGCCTTTTGAAGTTTTAGTGTGCTACTACTTTGTACCATGGTTTGGAATATTTGGAATTCTTATTGGATAAAACTAGTTTTTCATTCTTACTGGGTATTCACAAGTTTTTTTACTGGGGATTTACAGTTTGTAAATATTTTAAATTTAATATTCCAGTTCTTCCCTTTTTGCTTTTATATATTTAAAGCTTTTGTTTCTCTTTAATACTATACCTTTTACTTTGGTTTCAGTTTCCAGAACACAAATATACCAAAGTATTATTCACCACATCCGGCATGTAGAGATATATAAGTGGATAGAGAATATGTACGTGTTCAGTACCACATGAGTGATTTAATAATTAGAAAGTTGCTACTGCATTTTATTAAATGTGAGATGCTATCAACTAGAAGATATACCAATAGCTACCACTAAGAAAGGAGAAAGCTCAAGTTATGATATGCATTGATTGTAAGGTGCTTTTTGATTTCAGAGATGTTAAAATGTGAATAGGGTTAGTGAAATAACATTATAAAACCCACTGCTTGAAAAATAGTATGAAAAATAGTCAATGCAGGATAGGCTAGCAAGCCTAGAAACAGCATTAGACTACATCCAGTGAGATACTGTTTTCCACTTGTCTTCTCAGTAACTTTAATCTAAATAATTTTAACTTACCTATTTGAACTCTTTCTTGTTTTTTTTTTTTTTTTTTTTTGGTACCGGGGATTGAACTCAGGTCCTTGCACTTGCAAGGCAGGCCTCCGAGCCGCTGAGCTAATCCCCGGCCCTTTAACTCATTCTTAAGCCTTCAAGACCGAATCTTCACTGGTTGAGAGAATTTTATGACAGGCAGCTAAATCTTTGAAGAAAATTTCTTTGTTGTTGTCATTGCATGATAATGAGGTTTCCCTCATTGAGCCTGACTACATTTTGGGATAGCAAAGGTAGCAATTTACCCTAAAATAGTCTGTTACAATTCAGCTCTGCAATTAAGGAAGTCAGCCGACAGCATTGGTGGGGTGGCATGGCTTGTGTTTTGATTTTCTACAGGCAAGTTATCAACAGGGCAACCATTTGGATTCTGTGTCTGTGTGAAAGGTGGACACCTAAAATATCAATTTATTCACATTTGAGTTCATCTGTATTAATTTCCTGAGCTTTATTAAATACAAGACAGACCATGTGTACCTTGAATTTAGTTGTATGATTAAGTTCAACACTTTGAAGTCTAAAGGAAAACAAAGCCAAAAAGATTATAAATTTCTACACTTGATCTTAGCAAAAAGGCTCAGAAATGAGATTATAAGTTTCTAATGTAAGTTATAACTATTATAATCCTTCTTTTCTCCCCATTGATATATTGTGCTATTTTATTTTAATTTAATAGTATTTAGTGTGACTTTCTCTGCTATCACCCTTTTTAATTTTTCTGGGTCTATAAGCCCTAGCTTTAGTCACTCCATTCAAATGGCCAGTGTTGAGTGACAACTGGTTGTGACTTAGGTGGTGGTCAGCCTACCACCATAGTATTTGTTCCTATAAACGTTTATTTAATTATTATTATTATTCTTTTGTTTTGGGGTTTGTGTGTGTGTGTGTGTGTGTGTGTGTGTGTGTGTGTGTGTGTGTGTGTTTTGAGACAGGGTCTCACTGTGTAGTTCAGGCTGGTCTTGAACTCACTAGGTGGCCCAGGCTGGCCTCAAACTCACAGCGATCCTCCTGCCTCAGCGTCTGGAGTGTCCATCGTTTTATAGTGGTTTAAATCCCCATTTGTTTCCATGTTTAAAACTTCAAGTTTTAAATTCTGTGGGCCATTCATCTTCCATTTTCTTTGAGAAAGCATTCATAATGTTTTAATTTTGTTTACTTCAGATTCAAAATACAAGGGCTGGGGATTTAGCTCAGTGGTTCTGCCACCTGCCTTGAAAGCACAATGTCCTGAGTTCGATCCCTGGTACCAAAAACAAACAAACAAATTCAAAATACATTTTTTCTATTTTCCTCTTGTGACTGCTCCTCAGCATATACTCACTTTGCTCCAGGTTTGTGTTTAATGTGTCTATTCCTTTTCTTTGTTTTTTCCACTTGATGCTGCTCAGAGGCTTATAGCTTTTGTTTTATAGATGAATTGTTCTCTTCATCTCATTTTCCCCTTTTGCTCTTTCTGCATGCAGACTTCATTTGAGATCTGTGCCACACTGTATAGTACTAGTTTTGACAAGATATCGTAGGGCACTGGTTTGATAAAAACCAGAATATTATTTCCTTGAAATATATCTTTTTAATGCTCATTGAGGTGATTTCGATTAGAAAATGAAAAGATTTGTGTACTAACAAATGAAACTATGGATATGTATCAGAAGTTAATCAACTTTAGGCCTGAAGAGTCCTGGGTTTTAAAAACCTGAGAAATTTACTGAGTGCCAAGTCTTCCCTAACTAGATTAGATTGATTTTTTTTTACTTTGGGAGTGAATGATAGCCATTTAGTGGTTATCTCATAGTGATTAGAGGTAAAATACATCTTTTTTTTTTTAAAGAGAAGGAAAAACAGTGTGGGAATGGCGCTTGCTGAAAAATTATTGAATCATTTGTTTCTCCTAAACATTTGAAAATCATAGTATTAATTAGGTCACTGTTTTTGCATCTGCATAAACTAATATGCTTTTATTTTTAAAGTTACAAATTTGAGATTTTTTTGTTGTTGTTGTTAGATTCCAGTTATTAAGGCTTTTGGCATCTTGAAGCGAGCAGCTGCTGAAGTAAACCAGGATTATGGTCTTGATCCGAAGATTGCTACTGCAATAATGAAGGCAGCAGATGAGGTAGGAAGTGATGAGTGCATTCACTTCATGGCATTAGACCCATATCATTTCCTGGGTTACGATAAGCTCTGCCAGGAGGGAAGGGCACTGGAAATTCTTGAGTTAATAAATTTCAAGGAAAGGTGGCAGCATTATTGTTTGGTGAGAATATTAATATGGTACTTAAAATGTAATATTCTGACAAAATGTCTAGATATTATATCTTTTAGTTTTAAGCCTCTTGACTTTTCTTGTTAATTTATGTAGTTTTAATATTTTTTGAAAAGACAACTTCAATTTGATATTTTAAAGAATAAATGGTTCCTTTTTAAAATAGTTATTTGATAATACTTAACAAGAATATAATTTCACTAATAATAATTTCACTCATAACGTTATCTTGAGATGGAGGTGGCATTTCAATTGCTAAGTGCACGGTGCTGTTCATTACAGTGCTGTTTATAATAATAGAAACTAACCATAGCAGCTGCTTATGTACATGTGGTCATATCGGTTATATTGTGAACAATAGAAAATTAGTTTTTGTTTTTCCTCTTTTGGTACTGGGGATCGAACTTGGAATCTTGCGCTTGTGAGGCAGGGGGCGGCACCACTGAGCTAAAACCCTGGCCCCAAAAATTTGTTTTTTGAAGATTAGCCTAGAGCAAAGCCTTACCTATGAGAAATAGGGAGGAAAGTTTACAAAAAGATATGTGCTTTCTGGTTCTAATTTTGTTTTAAAAAACAAACAACCTGAAACTATTTTTATACATACACAGGGACTCCATACCAAAAATCTACAGCTGCTCAAATCTCTTTCATTAATGGCTGTATTATATTCATGTAACCTAGGCTGTATCCTCATATATACTTTCAGTCACCTAATACAGTGTAAATGCTGTATAATTAATTGTCCCATATTGTTTAGGGAATGACAAGCAAAACAGTCTGTACATGTTCAATACAAATGCATTGTTTTCCAAATATGTTTAATCCATGGGTTGGTTGTTAAATCTGGCGGTAGCTCCCCCAGATATGGTGGGCCCATGGCATGTGTAGATGTACCTGTTGTGGGATAGAAGTTGAGAATGACCTGGAACTCACTATGTAGCTCAGGCTGGTCTCGAACTCACAGCGATCCTCCTGCCTCAGCCTCCTGAGTGCTGGGATTACAGTTGTGTGTCACCACACCCGGCTCCTATTATTATTATTATTATTATTATTGTTGTTGTTGTTTTGGTACTGGGGATCGAACTCAGGTCCTTGTGCATGTGAGGCAGGCAGCAGAACCAATGAGCAAAATTCCCAGCCCCCCTATTATTTTTATATAGCTAGAACAAAAGTTTTATTTTAAAATGAATGACTTGTTCAAGGCAATAGATTTCTAAACTGCATTCTTATTTTTTTAAGCTTCAGAATATGAAGTTAAGTATCCATTTCTTTTAAGAAGTTTACATTTACAAAACACATGGGCCAAGAGCATAATTATGACAAAAATAGGGGCTGATCCTGGCAGTGCTTTTTTCTACTTTTGGCAGTTGCTGCTCATTGGACATCTGTGCAGTGAAGTAGCTATTAGTGAGCTCACATTTTCAAGTCCCTAGTTTATTATCATGCTGACTCTGGGTGGTAACATCTGTTGGATATTCCTGCTGAGCACCAACAATAAATGTATCTGAAGACATAAATATTTGCCAGCCTTTACAGGTGGCCTTCTGTTAGAGCAGGCAGAAAAGTAAGAAAGATGGCTTTGATTCAGTTTCTGTTTGAAGCCAGTGAATTGTTATACCATTCAGAATATGTATTTCACTTTCCAGTATTCACAGTTGGGAAAACTTACACTATGGAAGCTTAGAATTGTGGAACAACTGCATTCAAACTCTGGCGCCATCAGCAATTCACTTAATATTCGAAAATAACATCCATCAGATGGTTCTATAAATGGAGTTTGCAGAATCGTGACTCATGGAAATAGCAGAATGAATATTGTTTCTTATTTCAAAAATATTCATTTGTAGCTTTGTTTGTTTGTTTGTTTTTGCAGGTAGCTGAAGGTAAACTGAATGATCACTTTCCTCTTGTGGTATGGCAGACTGGATCGGGAACCCAGACAAATATGAATGTAAATGAAGTCATTAGCAATAGAGCAATTGAAATGTTAGGAGGTGAACTTGGCAGCAAGAAACCTGTACATCCCAATGATCATGTTAATAAGAGCCAGGTTAGTAAGTATATATCCTCTCCTTTTTTCGTTAGAAGTAGAAAAGGAATACTTGAGATTTTTCTTGTAAGGCAAGCATGGCTTTTGTTTATTTGTTTGTTTGTTTTTTGATACAAGGTCTCACTATGTAGTTGAGACTGACCTAGAACTCATTATGTAGTCCAGGCTGGTCTCAAATGCACAGCGATCTTCCTGCCTCAGCCTCCCGAGTGCTGGGATTACAGGTGTGCGCCACCATGCCCCAGCTAAGCATAGGCTTTTTAACATAGAAAGTGTACTCAACATATATTCTTTAGAAAAAAATATTTCTTGATTCTAGGAATCTTGGCTTTGTCTTCAACCTTATCAAAATTCCTTTTAGGACATCTAAATTTAGCATATACGTGTATTTTTACTATTTTTGTTTGTTTTTTGCTGGGGGGTGGTGTTGAGACAGGGCCTTGCTATGTAATTTAGGCTGGCCCTGAACTCACTGTGTATCCCAGGCTGGCCTTAAATTTTCAAGATCCTCCTGCCTCGGCCTCCCTAGTGTTGGGATTACAGGGGTGTGCCACCATGTTTTTGTTTGTTTGTTTTTGTTTTAATTAAAATGTTTTGGAAGTAATTTTAGAATTATAAAGATAGTTAAAAGTTACTTTTTATTTCTTCCACTTCCCTTAACATTAATATCTTAGATAACCATGGCACATTTATTGAAAGTAGGAAATTAACATGGGCACAATAATCTAAATGACATGCATTCTTAGGATTTCCCCAGTTTCTTCATTGATTCTCTTTTCTCTTTGAGGATCTAGTCCAGGCTACACAGTCACCTGTGCCTTTAATTTTCAAACCTGTGACAGCATTTTGGCCTTTTTCCTCAGTCCCTTTGGGCTGCTATGTAGACTACTTAGTTTGAAAACAAGTGTTTTTCTCAGTTGTAGAGGCCAGGAAGTCCAAGATCAAGTAGCTGGAAGATTTGCTGTCTGGTGAAGGCCTACTTCCTGGTTCATAAACCGCCATCTTTTCTCTCCGTCTTCTCATAGGGGAATGGCAAAGGAGCTCTCTGGGCATCTCTAACAAGGGCACTAATCCCATTTCTGAGGGTTCTACTCCCCTGGGCTAATCACATCCCAAAGTTTCTGCATCCTGATACCAGTTCCTTGGAGTTTCAGGTTTCATTGTGTGAATTTTGAGGGACTATGGATATTTACATTTCAGTAGTACCCTTGGCACTTTTGAAAGTAGTAGTAGGGAATTTTGTAGAAATTCTGTCAGTTTGGGTCACATGTTTTCTCATACTTGGACTGAGGCTGTGAATTTTGGGAAGATTATCACAGAAGTTTTCATTGCCTTAAATAAGGGGTACAAGATAGCAACATGACTTAGACTTGGTGATGTTAACTTTCATCACTTGGTTAAGGTGTTGCTTAACAGGTTTCTCTGTAATAAAATTACTTCTTTTGTTCTTCTCTACCATATTTGTTAAAAATGAATCACTAAGTCCTGCTTACATTCCAGGTATGCTATACTGGAGCTTCAGTTTCTAAAGGGAGGCATGTCAAAAAAATGTTGGACACATGTTAAAGAGTCACCGTAGTAATTACTAGTGATACTTTGATAATATGCGAACATCTTCTTTCTCCTTAAACTTTTGCCTACTTATTTTATCATTCATCAATATATCTACAGAAATTACTGCTATAGTCTTTTAATAACATTCAATTTTCATTCTTCCTTCTAAATATATGGATTGAAATTTTTCTGCAAAGAAGATTTGAACTCCCATTCCCATTTTTTTATTCAGTCCTTCCTATATGTCAGTATGGATTTGTGATGGTTTCTTTTATTCTTTGGATTACAGTACAATACTTTTGTTGTTTGTGTTGCCGCTTGAATTATTTCAGTTTTGTAAACGTATCCTTTGGCTTTTGTGCCCTTTGGATGTGCCACTTTTTTTTTTTTCCTTTTAGTACACCCTTGCCTTTTGGCGCTACAAAATAATTTTAACTCCATCATCTTATATTTTTCCTGCCCCAGCCCTAGAAACAGAGTTTTTTCAAAGAACTCTTGGGGAATCTCTTTGCAAAATATATTTAGAAACCAGAATCTGGGTGCTAAGTATAATTTAATGTAGTTTTAGTTATGAAAAGGAAAAGTTTTTTTAATATAAGATCATTGTATGATGGACTTTTTTCCAAACCTAAGACTTGCCTTTGATAGATTCAATCTGAAATCTGCTTCAGAATAATACAGTGTATTTGATAGGGTGAGGAAGTAGGGTAGAGTTATACATGACTCAAACTGACTGCACAGTGACAATTATTGGAGTTTGGTAATAGGTACATCAGTGTTCATTATACTGCTCATCCTACTTTTGTGCTCTGAAATTTTCTGTAGTAAACAGCTGAAATATGTAAATAACAAATGTGTCTTTTAAATAGCATGATACTATAAATATTCCTACGGAGCCAACAGTTAAGAAAAGAGTTTTGAATATATACTGCCTGGTAGGCCTCCGTTTCACTAGTTCCTAAATATTTTGGTCACACTGTCTCTTTGAGAATTTGGCTTTCCTGTTGTTAAAGTGCTATCTACTTCACAGTATTTTCTTGAAGTTTAATGGATAAAATGTTTATGAAAGATCGGATGCACTATATAATTGTAAGATATTTTATTATCTAAATGCGTTTGTGATCTGTACTTCTATGTTTTGCTGTCATTTATTAGTGGGCAGATAATGTAGTATATTCAGTATACTCGGTTATAATGTATAGTATGTCGGTGTACTTGTGTATAATACAGTTCTGAGTCTGTTTCAGTAGGAAACCAAGTTGCTTCTTATTTGCCCTTAAGTGCTGTATGACCTCCCATACACAGGTGTGATACAAGGAGTTTTGAGTTGTCATTTAGTGATTTTTGAGATACTCAAGTTTGTTTTTATGTTGCCTCTGATTTAACATTTTGCATTTCTTTTGAAACACTTCCCACAGAGCTCCAATGATACTTTCCCCACAGCCATGCACATTGCTGCTGCTGTAGAAGTTCACGAAGTGCTGTTACCAGGGCTGCAGAAGCTACATGATGGGCTCAGTGCTAAATCCAAAGAGTTTGCGCAGATCATCAAAATCGGGCGGACTCACACTCAGGATGCCGTTCCGCTCTCTCTCGGGCAGGTATAGGATTTTGACTAATTTTATTCAGTTTGGGGATCAACATAATGGCCATTTTTTTGCCCTTGAAATCACACTGGTTTCCAATGCCAAGCTTATAATAATTAATCACAGTGACAAAGACTGTTCTGAATTAACCAGTCAATGGGAGGTTAACTGAACCCAGGGACTTTGTGCTGAGCTTACATCTCCAACCCTTGGTAGTTGTTTTGAGACAGGGTTCTGTTTAGTTGCTCAGGCTGGGCTCTTAATTTGTGATCCTCCTGCCTCAGCCTCCTGAGGGCTGGGATTACAGGCGTGTACCACCACACCCAGCCCAAGTCAACAGCTTTATTGCTGTCCTTTTAGAAGAGCAGAGTACTGGCAGTGAGCTAAATTTAGTTGGCCTGTTCTGGTTCAGATCTTTGCTGTGTATAAGCTGTGGGAGGAAAATTATTTACCCTGTGCCTCAGTTTTCTGAGCTGGAAAATAAGGAGAACGGTATCTTACTTGCAAATTAGTTACGGGGCTCTAATAAGCCGATTCTCTAGAGCGTTTAGAACCTTTCCTGGCACTTGGTACCCACTAGTGTTAGCTGTCATCATCAGCAACCCCATCTCCACCAAGTCCATTATTTGTCTGTTTCGTTCTAAGTTAGGCTATTATTTAAAATTTAATTTTAAAGTGAGTAAACAGGGTAGGTCTTTCCTTATATTTATTATTTTGCCCACATGTGAAGGAGGTATTAGTCTCTTCTTCAAAATACCAGAAAATATTTTTACGTTTCTTTATCAGTACTTCAAAGAATACCTAATAGCATATACTAAAAAGGAAATTCAAGAAACAAGTTTTTATCAGCTTACGCTCCAGTTTGGGTGGTAGGATACACACAAATTGTATATCGAAAGATGGGCAAAAAAAGATGGGTATATATGCCAAATATCAAATGATAGTTGTCAAATAAGAGTTTCGTGGAAAGAGGTCAGGGTAAGAATAAAGCTATTGCTTTCTTGGATAAATTCTCAGTTATGATTCTGAATAGATGATATGGCAGCAAACACTAAAGAAAACTTTAGTTTTTGATCATTCAGCTTAATTTCATTACTGAAGGAAGGGATTAGTTGTAATACAAATGCTGGACTAAATTGAAATCCTCCTCCTACAGATTATGTTGCCTTTTAAGGCTATGTCCCATTTCTCTTTGCTTTATTGGCTCTTTGTAGTAGTTTCTGAGGAGAAACGGTGTGTGTGTGTTTACGACTATTGTTTCCTCTGTTTTAACCTGTCCCATTCCGTGTATGTGTCAACAATTTAAACCGCCGTGATAAAGTTCATTTGGACCATGATTCAACATCCTATCTAACATCCTTCAATTATTATGACAGAAAATTCTTTTTCTCTGACTTTATTAGAAGTATTTATACTTGCTTTGGTCGTTATATCTTTTGTATTTTTTCATTTTTCTCTAATCAAAATATATTCCATAAGTGAATCCAGCTGGTGTGTATATGTGCAAGTTATGTCAGGTGGATCACGCTTACCCCAAAAGAGTTCGGTCTTTTGAAATACTTTGTTTAGAACACTATGAAGTCCTTATACCGATCAAAAGTACTCGAGCTTTTCATTGTTTTCAGGCAGAAAAAAAAAAGATGTGTAATCGTATATCTCGGCTAAGTCCCGGTTTATGCCTTTTGTGCCTGTATAATTCCTGAGAGGGCCCTTTCTATGTTCAAAACATAAATTCCAGGGTTGTCTTATTTAAAATGTGTCAAATGTGTGTTTGGGAAGCACACAGTGAAGCCATAGTCTTACTCCACTGTTAGCCTTAACACTGTTCAGTGAGTCACTTCTTAATGTCCTTGTGAAATGGCCTCGTGTTCCTGCCTAATTTTTTAAACTGAAGTTTTGTGGAGAGTATTTCTGTTTGCATTTTTCCTGAGAGAATATTCAGTACTTTTTCTTTCTCATACTTGTTTGAGACAGACCCAAAAAAAGGGAAATCAGTATTTATAGTTTACAAATAAATGAGTAACTTAATATAGTACATTTTTCCTCTTTAAAAGTTAGTTTTCTGTGTTGCTTTTATTTGTCTTCTGCCACAAAATGAGATTGTGAATAGGTTGCATGTTATTTGCATAGTCCCACCCTATAGGTTTATAAATTTTTGTCTTTCCTCAGATTTTGCTCGTCATATGAATTGACATAGCATGAGTAGGACTTGCGTAACTTATAACTTAATATTCTGAGACATCTTCTAAAACGTCAGGTTCCCGTAGATTTGAAACCATTAGGAAATTTTTTCTCACCTTAACTTTCTTCTCTCTTCAGGAGTTTAGTGGTTATGTGCAGCAAGTACAGTATGCAATGGCGAGAATAAAAGCTGCCTTGCCAAGAATCTATGAACTTGCAGCCGGAGGCACTGCTGTCGGGACTGGCCTCAACACCAGAGTTGGCTTTGCTGAAAAGGTTGCTGCGAAAGTGGCTGCGCTCACAGGTTAGTGACCACATGAATTACTACTCATCTTCGTTACACTAGCCTATGTGTTTATGCCTTGCATTCTTCAGTGTTTAAAGTTAGAAATAAAATTTCTCTGTCAGACGTGTGCCTTATCTCCATTTCAGAAGTGTAATGTTAATCCTTTACCTTTGAAAGGTCTTTTCATATAAGAGTTCAAACATGCAGTTCATATTTACCAATGTTAACTTTATTTATTGCCTCAGAGTATTTTGTTATTTTTGCTTTAAAGCTATTTTGAAGCATATTTTTCAAAGTAGCCAAAAATGAGCAAGTCATTTGAACAATACAAATGTTGCAGATATACGTAACTTTTTTATGTCATACTGTCAAGTTTCTTTGAATTATTAACCTTTTTTTTTTCGTTTTTTTTGTGTTGTGATGCTGGGATTAAACCCAGGGTCTCAAATGTGCTAGGCAAGCACTTTACCAACCACCAAGCTATGTCCCCAGCCCAAATTATTAACCTTTTAATTCCTGTCTTATCTTCAGTAGAGTTCTGTAGTCTGAATAACGATTACTGTTATTAAAACCAAGTTGTCAAGTTCAGAAAGCTCTTATTAAGATGCAGCTGTTACTGCAGGGTTAGGATGAAAGTAAGCAAACAATGTGTATTAAAGCTTACTGGCTGAATTTTTCAAATCACACTTTCATATAAAATAACTATTCTTAGGGTTGAGAATGTAGAGAGTTTTAAAAACCTGAACATTGGAGAGACTGACTGAGAACACCTGGTTCCTATCCACTCTATCTCTCAGAGGATCTTGTGCCCCCTGACTAAAGGAAACAGTGGACCATAGTACAGTGGACAAAGAAATTTTTAAAAACTATACTAGAACAAGTGTGAAGTCAAGGAAAAGTGAATTTTACTCACTTTTCATTCTTACTCTAGAATAGTCAGGCATCAGACAATCAGGTGTTTGCAGGAGGATAGTGTTTTGCATTCCATTATATTTATTGTCCTTGTTATTTCATCGTATAAATGTGTTAGTGTCAGTTCTTTATGCTCTCTTGGGACTTCTTAAAGAATTGTAGACAGAGCTTGAAACTGAAGCACTTTTTCTGAAGTACAGTTTATTCTGTTCTTTTTTATTTTTGGTAGTGTTTGGAAGCCATTTGTGCTTGGTATGCAGTTACTGTCCCACCAAACTACACCTTAAGACCTCAGTTCTATTTTTGCTTTTCATGTACTGTAACTTCTATGTAACTTACTGACAGAACATAAATGTTTAATTTTCCCTATTTACCCATATAGGTTATTTGTCTTTTCTTTCCTTCAGGCTTGCCTTTTGTCACTGCTCCAAATAAATTTGAAGCTCTGGCTGCTCACGATGCTCTGGTTGAGCTCAGTGGAGCCATGAACACCACTGCTTGCAGTCTGATGAAGATAGCAAATGATATTCGCTTTCTGGGTTCTGGTCCTCGGTCGGGTCTGGGAGAGCTGATCTTGCCTGAAAATGAACCAGGAAGCAGTATCATGCCAGGTAATCACAGAGCTGCTGAATGTTGGAGCCTGATTTTGACTGGACTGTAGGGATTCTCGGCTTCAGAGTGTGTCTCTTTTTGTGTACCACGATCCCAAAGCTGAATGGGAACACTTGGGGCACATTTGTTTTAGGATGTTTGTGTTGGACATCTTGGACCAGGGCTTCTAGGAACGTCATCTAATAGTTAGGAAGAAAGAATCTGAGTTAGCAGCATGAATTTGATTCCTTTGTTCATAAGTATGTAATGGTTCGTTCCTTCAACATCCAAAGCCAAGAGAATTCTGGAATAGGCTGTGTTGTGAATGCGATCAGCGAGGACTGAGTAAAAAACAAGCCATACCAAGGTCCTGTTATTTTGTGTTTTATGTGAAATAAACCCAATAGATAAAGGAAGCGACATGAATACCGGATGTCTGGATAAGCCAGGCATGTGATAGACTCACTTGATAATCATTCGTTTTAGTGGAGTAGTGTGAGCAGTGCTGGTAGATGACTGTAGCTGGGTGAACAGTGACACTGACGGAGTGACTAATGAGTTGACTTTAGTCTGGGATATTTTAGTACCAAGCTGAAGGACTCTACCCATTCGACACTTCACTGGTGACTTAGGGGAAAGGCAGAGAATACCTGCTAGTCATATTAGCAGATAGCAAAATTGAGATGACAGTGTATCAAATGACAATAGAGATTTACAAATGTGTAGGCCAACCAGTGTTGAACTAAAACTGAGAAAATAATTTTTAATAGTGAAAAAGAAAGGCTGATAATTGTTTTAAATCTATGCATGTGTAGAACAGGAAGAGATCATGTTTTAGATTAGTTTTTCATAGGTTTAGGAGATTGCAAATCTGAGGTGATTGCACAAAAAAGTGAACTGGAGAGTCACTAAAACGGGAAGTAATCTTCCAGTGTTGCCTTGCACTGGAATCTGGGATGTTTGTTTCGAACTTAAACAATGGTAAGTTACAGAGATTCATGTGATGAGTAGGAGAGTTCCAGATTAACATAAATCCTCCCAGATTTGGTAAGATGTTCCCATACCAGTTTAGACTTCTCTATATTTACCCATTAACTTTTTTTTTTTTTTTTTTGGTACCGGGGATCAAACTCAGGTCCTTGAGCTTGCAAGGCAGGCAGCAGAACCGCTGAGCTAAATCCCTGGCCTTACCCATTAACTTTTGAAGTTACTAGCTCCTCCAGATTCTGAGAAGGTTGGGCTTGCATCTTTCTGAGTGTATATTCAGTGTCTGGTTTTATAAGTGTTTTAAAAAATTATTGAAAGCCAGGGAGGTGAGGAACTCTATTTAATGTATAAATGTAGTTTCTTGTTAGTCATTGAGTGATTCAGTTTGGTTACGCATCCCTTCCCTTTGGTCAGTTTTGTTCTTGCTTTATTCTATGGTTGACTTTCTTGGATGAAATTAGATTTCCTTCTTATTTGACTTCATGCCTAATCTTGACCGCTGCATGAAAGCATGAGTGTATCTGATGCAGATTCTGTCACTGATGGTTTTCTTGAAGGCAAGGTGAACCCTACCCAGTGTGAAGCAATGACCATGGTTGCAGCCCAGGTTATGGGGAATCATGTTGCTGTCACCGTTGGAGGCAGCAATGGACATTTTGAGTTGAATGTTTTCAAACCAATGATGGTAAGCTTTAAATTCAAGTTTTAATGGCTTTTGACTAAAGACTTACAGTTTTTAGACTACACATTAAGTAAGCAGTTAGATGGTATAGGTAGCAACTGGAAGTCAAGCACTTATTAGCACGTTCCTGCCAGCTGAAACCACCAGAGGTACATGCGTGTCTAGTTGGGTGGCTTGTACCACTCGTGGTACCAATGGATCTAATCACTTTTATCATTCTTTTTAACTGATAAAACTAATTAAAAGTCTTCAGTGGCCTGAATCTAACTAGTTGTCTTAAATTTGAATAATTACTGCCCAAATATAAATGTAATACTCTTCATACTAATTAAAAATTATGACAGTAATCAACACATTTATTTATTGCATTTAATCAAAATGAATTTATTTATATTTGTGAATTTCTTTAGAACATTTTCTACATAAAGGTGGCTGATTTGTGCAGGGGGTTTGAAACGTCAGAATGCCTGGGTCAGATGATTGACTTCACATGTGCACTGCCCAGCAGTAAGACACACAAATTACACCCCTTTGGGAGCACGTTGATGTTAGAAGAGTAGCCATAGAGCTTCGGATTTAGGTGACTTTGCTCAAGTGATTGGATGCTTTTTTTGTTTAATAGGAAGAAAAGTTCTTGGAGTAAGACCTAGGACCCACAGCCCTGCCTTCTCAAGCTGTTCTTTTCTTGCTCCTTATTTCACAGTCAGTCTTCTTGAAGTAACCTAAGTTACTTGGATTTATGCTGTGCTCCCTGCAGTGCAGCTTCAGCTCCCTCAGTTTGTACCCAAATGGTTTGCCCATTGCTCATGATGTCTTCCATCCAGTGTGAATGTTCCTCCTGGAAACATTCTTCCTCCTTGGTTTCTTCAACACTTTGTCGTCCCCTTCCTGTCTGTTCTCAGTTCCCCCCATTGGTTTTACCCTCTCCATTGCCTTGGAAACATTATTATGTCCACTAAAACTGCTCTGAATTTTTACAAAGATGGAGCAAAATGACATTGTCTTTTCATCCAGTTTCTCTAACTTGAGATAATGAAGCTGTGTCACTGTTTAGTACTTGATTTGTGTAAAGCATTATATTTAACATATACTGGATGCCTTTTTTCCTGTTTGTATAGGATATAAAGTGTAACTTGATAAGAATATGCAAATGGAAAATTTTAATATTCACACAATGAATTCACCATTTATCTGTCAGGAACCTTTTTTTAATTATACCCTGTATTGGGTGCTCTCAATAGTACTTAATAAGACCCCCACCCCCATAGAATGTAGGTTTTAAGGCCAAAGCAGAATTCAGACCTATGAACTTTTGATTTCAGGTCACATTCCAAGCAGTTAACACCAGCTGCCTGGCATATATATGTGCATAACAAGTTTTTTGTTGCGTGTTTATCATTTATTATGGATGAAAGATGATACTGTCTTGTTCCATCTTCACAAGATGAAAGAAAAAGAACAGTTGGGGGGATGTAGTAATGTTTCCAAGGCATGTGGAAGAGAGGAAAACCAACGAAAGAAAGCCTGAGCCGGTAACAAGGGGAGAACTGGGGAGAAAAGCATCGTCTCATTAATCCTTTCTTTAAATCAGTATTTTGGTTTTCATAGAAAATAACATAATCAACATTCACTTTACAATAAAATTTAGTGCCCTTTATTAGAGCCAATTGTTGAAAGTATGGTTTTTAGACTTTGGGTTTCAGACCAAAAGATGTTAGGATGTGACTATATCTTTGTATGTATTGGAAATGTTACGAGAAAGAAACAATTGCCAAAACGTACCAGTTGATTTTGTACCATCTTTAAACATTCTGTAAAAAGTTAAAGTGCCTGGAATATTGGTTTTAAGCATAAAAATTGGTGAGTATTAACTGCTGGGAATCCCTGACTTTACCAGTTGCCCCGAGCACATGCTGAGCTTGCTAGCCGCTGCACCAGTGCTCCTTTCCTTCCTGCATGGAAGATTCTTGCCCTTCTCGGGCTGTCCAAGTCCTCTGCAGCAAGCAGGACTTCACCAACGCCTGTAACAGAAAGTAATTCCCTTCACTGTGGTTGTTCACACTTCATACCTGTTTTATTTTGTATTTTAGTTATTTGTATTTATGTCTTTTTCCCCTTACTGTAGATTTTTGTGCCCACAGATGTTCATAATGTCATTCACATTTGTTTTCACTTGATCTTAGCCAAAAGGCCGAGAAGTGATCACATTTGTTTTCTATGTTCATTACTTTACAATTTTTAGGAGTGCTGTTTATTTCACTGAATTATGTACTTATAGGAGCTGGCAAATAATATATATCATTTGACCAAAAGAAATAAGGTTAGTAATGTGTTTCTCTCTTTCTCTAAAAGATTAAAAATGTGTTACACTCAGCCAGGCTGCTGGGGGATGCTTCCGTGTCCTTCACGGAAAACTGTGTGGTGGGAATCCAAGCCAACACAGAAAGGATCAACAAGCTGATGAACGAGTCGCTGATGTTGGTGACCGCTCTTAATCCTCATATTGGTAAGGGTTTAAGGAAGAATTATGTCATTTTGAATGGGAAGTTAAATGTTGAAAAACTTTTTAGAGGATATTGGATGAATGTTTGTGGGCAACAAATTCTTGGACATTGGTTCAGTAAAATCTTAAAATATTAGAAATGATGTTAAAAGAAGCTATATATATTCATAACTTTTATGGTGTCGTAGTTCTTTCCAAAACAATCCACTCAACTTCACTTTATTTGAAGTATTGTATTCAGAAGTAGTATTTCAAACTTACTTAATCTTAATTAAATTCAAATGCTGAATATTTTTTGCAGCACTTGGTTATTTGTAAGACTCTGGATTGGTAATGTCACTAGGTGGCACTGGCTGATTAGCAGTGTGGAATGAATTCATTCATCTGCCTTCTCTCTGGATGCTGTAATTCTCTGACCTTGTTATTTTATCCAATTCAGAAATAGAAAGTTACCAATTAAAGAGAAAAAAGGTTTATATAGTCATTGCTTATAAGGAAAGGAAGGAAAATGTAAATATTTTATTTAAAACCATGCTTTTACATTGCAAGGCTTTTTCCAGACTTGTAAATATTTCATTATGTAAAATCAACCATACAGACTTGGATTATAGGCCGACCATAGTAATTCCCATTAAAAAGGCTGTTTTGGGTTTTGTAGGTTTGGAGGCATTCCTTGGATTGTATTATGATGTGTTAAAAGCCTTTTTTGCCCTTCTTTCTGCTGAGCTAATGTTAACAGAGTCTTTGATATTCTATTTTAGAACAAGTTATGATGTAGCCATTTGGCATAATATTATTACTACTTTAAAACTTTCTTCTGCAATCTTGTACTTTGCTAACAGACTTTGTATTCTTGGCTACACATCAGACTGTAATTTCAGTTAGCTCTCGTTTGATTGCTCTAAGTAGCTGTGAGCCTAATATGATCCCTAGCTTTTTTGGAAGGGGGATCATATAGTATTAAGACTAATAAGAATATTTCAATCCATTTATAATTGTTAGGCATCAACATTCAACTGGAAAGATATAAATGGAACCCCAAAATGTTTCATCAGATCTTGAGAATGTGTTATCAAAACTTTTAAATTAGTGGTATCCCCTAAAGCTGAAAATAGGTAGAACTCTCTTGTAATCAATTTAGTGTTAGATCAAAAAACTTATTAGAGAGAGTATAAAGGTGAGCTGAGCATGAGCCTTACAACCCCCCAGTCAGGAGTTGTCAGCAACCTCATTGTGTTACAGGTGGTTTTGTGTCTTGTGGAACTTGAGAACTAAAAGCGATGCGCATTAATGCTTAGCCTTCAACGTCATTGTTGACATAAAAGTGCAGAACATATATTAACCCCAAGAGTTCAACATAAGAATTCTTTCATAAGGCTACTCTGGTTAGTAAATACCCTTACCAACATGTTTAGAATTCACAAATTCAGTTACATAATAAAATCAACTCCATCCCTAGTATGTTTTATAGATGGTTAAGTGTTGCTTACAGACTCGTATCATTTTGTTTGGTTGATGACCATATTGCCTCATCAGACTTCTTCCCTTTGCACATATTCCTCTGACCTTTGCTTGTTTTTGTTTTTTTTTCCTCATGTTAGTTTCATTTAACCTTCTGATTTTGTAAAAATTATATTGTCAGACAACTTGTGGAGCTGCATAACTTCTATTAACTCTGTAACTTTGTTAACTTCAAAAGCACATAAGTGAAAAGGATGTATTAGTGTGTATTTCTGCTCAGGCTTCCCCAGCCCTCTCTGTGTAACGGAGAGGCCAGGAGCAGAGGCCGCCCCAGAAGAGCGGTGGGAAGCATCTCTGAAGTGTACCTCTCCTCCTCACCTGGATTCCCACCTCCCAAGGCCACTCAGCTGTCCGCCACACTGTGCTATATTTTCTGTAGCACGGGAGCACCTGTCACAATCTTTATTCCTTAAGAAGTGTAAAGATCTATTCAGTGTGAGAAATCATAATTATTCAGATAGTCACTGTTAAATATTTTTAAAAATAAAAATATCACTTAAGAAGCCCATGCCATCAGTATGAGATAAATAATAATGATTACCTTTTTCTGTAAAAACCAAGTGTCACTACTAATTCCTGCATTGTCTTTTTATTTTTTTCTTCAGGGTATGACAAGGCAGCAAAAATTGCTAAAACTGCACACAAAAATGGATCGACCTTAAAGGAAACTGCTATTGAACTTGGCTATCTCACAGCACAGCAGTTTGATGAATGGGTAAAACCTAAGGACATGCTGGGTCCAAAGTGATTCAAATAAGTTTATAATAAAAATAAACTTGTGTAAAATTTTAAAAAAGGACTCTATTTTTCTAAACAAAAGTGGATACATTTAAAGGGAAACCATTAGATTTGAGAATCTCTAGCAGAATAATTGGATCAGTGTCCAAAAATATAGGATATGATAGATCCAAAGTGAATTAAGTAAGTATAAAATTACATTGCATAAAATAAAAAGAAACCAGACTAATTTTTCTTTTATATTGAGTTGCATTGTAAAGGAATCTTGATGCTTATGCATGTATGATTATCACTTCATACATTTTTTTAGAAATAACCACTTCATTCATTCATTCATTGTGTCCCAGGGGTTGGAACCTAGGGCCTAATGGATGCTAGGCAAGCACTCTAACTGTGCTACCCCTGTCCCTGAGGAGTTACATTTTTTGCTGTTAGCAGCTTTTAAAAATTCCTCTGTGGTAAAGTTTTTAGTTCTTGTTATTTTTCTCCTAAATGATGTTTCTAGTTTTTATTTATTTATTAAGTTTATTGGTACTTTTTAGGTACACAGTACAGTTACATTCATCATTGGGATGTTGTACCTTTACATGACAGATCTTGGTTCTCATTTTTTCCCCTTGTCCCTTCCCTCCCCACCTTACCCACTCTACCCTTCCCTATTTACAAAGACTTTGTTTCCATTTTTTCCTTTTCTCATATTTTTTCATTTCCTTTATTTCCTTTTCCCTACCTATCTCACTTTCCCTACACCTTTAGCCCTTTTCTTCCTATTTCACATTGTCAGTTATACAATTTAGATCTTATTTAAACTTCTAGTTTTTCATGCCAGAGAAACTATTCGATATTTAAATATATGCGTCCTATTTATTTCACTTAGGAATATAGCCTCAATATGCATCCATTTTCCTATGAATGACTCTAGTTTCTCATTCTCTATGGCTGAGTAGTATTCCATTTTATAGAAAAAAAATCACATTTTCTTTATCCAGTCTTCAACTGATGGGCAACTGAACTGTTTCTAAGTTTTAGCCATTACAAACTCTGCTGCTGTAAACATGGGTATGCATATATCACTGTGGTATGATTCTTCTTTTGGAAAGATACACAGCAGAGGGATGGCTGGGTCAAATGGGACCTCTAATCCTAGTTCTTTGAGGTATCTCCATATTGATTTCCACAGTGGTTGCACCAGTCTGCACTCCCACCAATAATGAAGAAGGGTTCCTTTCTCCCCACAACCCCGCCAACATTTGTTATTGGTTGATTTCTTGATAGCAGCCATTCTTTGTGGGGTGAGGTGGAATCTCAGTGTTGTTTTCATCTGCATTTCTCAAATGACCAGTGATGTTGAACATTTTTTCATATATTTACTAAATGATGTTTTAGCCATCTTTAATTTTCCTGTGATTTGGGGGCATAAACTGACCAAACCTTCTGAGGGAGGATATATGTATGCATGACTTGTTTTTAAAAATTTAGGAAATAGACTACAAAAAGGTTTTAAATATTGGAATATACATATCATGAAGGGTCAAGGATTTCAGGACATGGGTTAGACAGACTAAGGGGAGCACACAAAGGCTGGGAGAAAAGGGAAGGCTGAGGATATCCTGAAAGTGAATCTTCTCCGTCCTCTGTGCACCTGGGCCAAGGTGTTTCAGCAGAAATTCATTTAAAACAACCCAAGGGGATTTTTGAATTAGCAATTCTAGGAGATCCAGAATAGATTGACTAAACCTGAAGCTGAAGGACTTAGTTTAAATAGAATCAACCTCTGGTACGTGGAGAGTTGGAACAAGATCATGAAGAGGGAAATTCCCATGAGCTGAGGGTGTAGAAGTAATGTTCTATTGGGTATATTTTTTTAAGATGAAATACTCCTAATATTTATTCTTAGAAAATTAATCACATTAACACAAACTCTCCTGTGGAAGTTTGAAAGTAGTTGCTTTTTTATATAGCATTTAAAAGTAATTAAAATAAGTTCTAGAAACATGATAAAGTAAAATTTTAATAATTTTTAAGCCTGTGGAGCTTACAGTAATCTAATTTCTTGTCCATGTAATACTGTTTTTGCTAATGTTGCTGATAATACAGTGCTTTCACAGCTTGCTTTACAATAAAACATGATTTTTCTTCCTTTTCTTTAAGGAAAAGATTTTCATTGAAATAAAATCAATTAGATTTTGTAGTAGTGCTTGGAACCCAACAATCAAAACAGACAACTGATCTGTAGTTGTGACAGTGCATCTCTTAGAAAGTAGGATACTTTTTTTTTTAACATATCCTTTATATGGATAGGCTGTCCTTTGAGGGCTCTTCTGGAGATGCAATGATTTATGTAATAGAAAGAAACCAGAAAATCAAGTTCCTAGCCTTGGTCTTTGCACAGCTGTCTGTTATGTCCCAGTGTATGTGATCCTTTAAGTTCACAGTCATCTTTATGTGATGTTAGTGAAGTAAAAGTGTTTTTTTGTTTTTTTTGGTACCGGGGATTGAACTCAGATCCTTGCGCTTGCAAGTCAGGCCACTGAACTGCTGAGCTAAATCCCCGGCCCTAAGTAAAAGTGTTTTATGACATAGTCTAAAGGCTTTTAGAATTCTGTATTATAAGATTGTTCTGCAAGTCAACTTAAGTATTTTTTTCATTGGAATCGGCTACTCTCTAGCAATGTCCAGAGAAACTTTGTGTGTCACCCTGAGGAAGTAAACGCTACTGACATCTTCTGGGTAGAGGTCATCCATGCTGCTGGGCTTGCTGCACAGAAGGGACCCCTACACTAAAGAGTCTTTCAGCTTCAGATGTGAATAATGCTGAGACTGAGAAAGCAAAGATGGAGCGTATGTTGCTGGCAGTACTCACTCTTCAGGTACGCTTTACCAGGTGTGCATGTGTGTCCTGAAGCTGCTGTGATTTTAATTAGAACTTTAATGTGTCTTAGATGTGAGCACGGATGGACATGATTGATTGATCATGGTGTTCATGCCTCAGAGTGGCCTGTCTCAGCAAAGACTTCAAAGCTTTGTGCTGGATGGACATGAATAGGGTCAGAGACATGAAAATGTCAGGTACATACATTTAAGATGGAGACAAAAACAATCCACTGATCTTTGTGAGCAAACAAGAAGAAAGACAAGAGGCCCTGGACAAAGTTCAGAGCATCAAAGTCACAGCACTTAAGGAACTGTCAGTTGGGAACTACCCTCAGCTCAGGCAACACAGGAATTCGTAGAAAACTACTGGCCACATTTCCTCATTTATCTTAACTGTAGTTTGGGTAACAAAAGCATTCACAAGAATTTTGGAAAGATTTCATAGATTTTTTTAAAACTATGCTCTTTTGGTTAGCTGTATCGGGTCTCTTCCACTGTCCTTTCAGTGTAACTTCAGCAGGAATAAGTCAGAGCCAAATGTGATTTCTAAAAAAAATGTTTTTGGGCCGGTGATTTAGGGCAGTGGTGCCGCTGCCTGCCTTGCAAGCACCAGGACCCAAGTTCGATCCCTGGTACCAAACAAACAAAAAAAATGTTTTTATAAAGCCAAGATTAAAGCTGGTAAATTAAAGCGAATTAATTCTTTGAGCAAATTCATTAAATTGGCCATTGAGCAGTTGGCTTTTGGGCAGTTGATCTGTAACATCATTTAATTTGGGAGAAGAGAAAGAAGCTCTGATTATCCTGCTCCATGTGTGGTGTCAAGAAGAAGCAGGGTGCTGAAATACACCTGTGTCGAGTGTGGCAGATGTGGCCGTCATCTTGGTGTCTTCTTGGTGTCTCAACCTGCTGAGACTTGTTTGCTTTTTGGTGTCTTAGTTACTTTCTTGTTGCTTAGACAAAATACTACACACCCAGAGTTAAAGGGGGGAAGATTTATTTGGCTTACAGTATGTAGAAGTTTCAGTCTATAATTGGCTGGCTCCAAGGCAGGGTGGTAGAAGGGCAACAGTTCACAGTGGTAGAAGACAGCAAAAGCAACAAGGAACTTCAGCAGCCTTTCTGCCCCTTTTATCCAGGTTACTTAGGGCATGTAGTACTCAACACCCTTAATCCTAGTGTTCTCAGGCCTTGCATTGCATCATGAATCTCACATTCTAGATTCAGCCACCTCTGAAATAGATCCACATTTTCCTGAGGCTTTGGGTGACATCTAAACACAAACCATAACATCGGGGCTTTCCTCAAAAGACAGTAACAGCAGGTGGTACCCCAGTAGGGAACTGAAAAGAACTTGTTCCATCCCTTCTGCTATATTAGCACCAAATGTATCCGTTCATAAGTGGAATGAGAAGTGTTCTGTCCTTAGGGTTGAGGTGAGAGAGATGAGACAGTTCCTGTATCAAACATTGCAGTTTTGAAGAAGAACCTTTTCTTTAAGGACCTGGGGTAAAGCATGCTTAAGTTAACCTCAATCAGGTGAGGAAGGAACTTGGAAAACAGAGCCCTTGATTAGAGCTACACATTTTCATCAACACCTCATGGCTGTTTTGTATATCAGGATTTGTGGAAGTGAGACTTCAAGTTGAACAAGGAATGACTAAGAAAGTGTCAAAAGGAAGATGAGCGATAACCCCTGAAGGAGAAAGATGTAGTTATGAAGGCGAAATTGGAGTGGCTCATGGAAGGAGAACCATGGTTGATTCTGTGGGGTTGAATTTCACCCTTGCTGCCTGCTAGTTTTTGAGCACCACTGTCTACAAACCCATTTCCTTACCTTTCAGTAGAGTTACTAGTGCATATTTCATATTTATATATGTGCTTATAAAGTACTCACCACAAAACCTGCTTCAATTAGCTTTTCCTCCTGTAGAGAATGGGCAAAATTGCAAATGCTGAACAAGTTTTCAGAGGGTGAGTCCAAAGTGGTTGATTCTGTGGGGTTGAATTTCACCTTTGCTGCCTGCTAGTTTTTGAGCACCACTGCCTACAAACCCATTTCCTTACCTTTCAGTAGAGTTACTAGTGCATATTTCGTATTTATATATGTGCTTATAAAGTACTCACCACAAAACCTGCTTCAATTAGCTTTCCTCCTGTAGAGAATGGGCAAAATTGCAAATG